AACGACAGCCTTTTTAACAAATGGTGTTGGCAAAATTGGAAAAATATCTGCAAAAGACTCAAGCAAGACCCACACCTAACTCCATACAAAAAAACCAACTATTAGGTGCTATTGAGTATAACTCAGCGACCCTTTGAACAGCAGACTTGAATGCCATTCTCATCATCGCTGATACACTAGTCACCGTGTCAATCCACTTCTTTGGGGGCCTTCCTCTCTCTCTGACTCTCACCTTTCCCTTTTCAAGGAATAGCCTCTCCTAGCAACGTGTCCAAAGTATGAGAGATGACGCTTCACTCTCCTTGCAGCCTCTATACTCAATCCAAATTCAAAGAACTCACAGGCTTTCTGTCTTGGGTAGCCCACCTGGGCTGCACGCACATACATACACGCTGGGAATAAGGTGCTTTCATCCGCCCCCCAGGACCAATTTGGGTGCCTGAAAATGAGATGCACAGTGAGCTCATCTCTGAGGTACAGGGCTGAAGAATTCAGGGTTTTGTTGTTTTGTTTTGTTTTTCAGTAACCCAGGGCACAGGATAGGGAATGAGACTTAGGCGGCGGGCTGCTTAACCAAGCCCAAGGATACCTCTCACCTTGTTTTCCTATCCAAGGCTGCAGGCCCTCAGCAGCCTCCTCTTCCGAGCTGGGATTGTGGGTAATGTAGTCCATAGAGTCCAGGCCCTCAGTGTACTGGTTCCTGCCCTCTGTTCTCTGCCTCTGTCCCCTGCAGTCACCACCCGCTCCTGCTCTAGGCTGAGGGCAACTGGGGGTGAAGAGGCGGGGCTCGCTTCTGGCGGGCTGGGAGATCCCCTGCTGGAAACAGACCATCTATTTATAGCTGAGCGGAGGGAAAGGCCTGAGAGAAGCTCGGGAGCCCTGGCAACCTTTTGCCCTGCTCCACAATATGCACGCCCTGTATTCTCATCTGAGTAAAGGAACGTGGAACCCCTGAGAAGCCTGTGAATTGGTAGGGCCCTGGGCTGCTTCCTGGCTTGATACTCCAGTGACCCTGGGGACCTAGGTTTTGGGTCTCTACATTATGGGGAAGTTGGAACGCAGGGGTTGATAAACTGAGGCATTTTGCAAAAGAGTCGCCACCCAATATGGCAGTCCCAGTATTTCCAATGTGTCTTTTTTCTTCTCATCTTCCCCAGGTGCTTGTCTCCTCAACCAAACTGCACTAATCCAAGCAGCACCAATCCTGGTTTCAGGTTGTAACATGTGATCTTGCTAAAAGAAAAGCCAGATTCTCCCTAACCAACACTGCTTGGTTTGGGTGCTGCTTCTGGCACCACCCCCTTCCTAATGCTATGTATGTACTTGTTGCTCCCTGTTATCATTGCCTGATAGGAAAATCATTGCATGAACAACTATAAATCGATAGTAATGAATGCAGTTACTGGAGTGCTTGACACACACTTCATTGTCACATTTAATCAGAGTGTTTTAGAGACTGGAAAACACTTTAGACATTAAGTACCTTTTACCAACATCTTGAATAAGTGATAAAGCTGAAATAGCAACTCTAGGCATGACATGGGGCTGTCTTAATGCTGGCAAGTAGTTAAGTCCCTCTAGGAGCTCCAATGGTATAGTCTGCAGTCACCTGTGCTGTAAACTCAAAGGCCAAGTCTGTTGGTTCGAATCCACAAGGGCTTCATGGGAGGAAGATGGGCAATCTCCTGAGAGATTTACAGGTTTGCAAACCTGGTGGAAGGTCAGCAGTGAGTTGAGTAGGTGCCCCTGGCTACTGTGTAACCACAGTGCAGTGAGGTGAGGTAGGCAGACATGGTCCCGATGGCCTGAGCCTCTTGCTGTCATTTGCCATTAATACTTTCCTGGCCTTGTCGTATACCTTCTGAACTTCCTGACATACATCATGAGAAGGACCTGCTCTCATCCACCCTGGCTTGAGAATAGTCTCACCATTGGCTGAGGGGGTCTGGGGATGACATACAGGTTCTGAGATTGAGCAGCAGTGTTTGGGGAATCAGGTCACCAGGGACCCCCTTCTCTCCGAATCCACTGAGTTGTTATTTCCTTTGACTAAATCTCAGGAACATTTGACTGCAGTCTTCTCAGAATTCTCGTTGGTTGCTTCCTGTCATGACTGACAGTGCCCTGGCTTTCTTCCCCTCCTCCTCAGGGTTTTTTTGTTGTGTTTTTTTTTTCTCTTCCCTGTAAGTCTCCTCTGCTGTTTTCACCCAGCTCTCCTTGGATGATGTTGAAGGGCTTCAAAACTCAGCCCCAGCCTCTTTTTTGAAACTACCTCTTTGAGAAACAAAAACTTATCACTTCTTTACTTAAAATACCTCAAGGGCTTCTCATATTCCTCAAAATAAAATCTCCCATTTTCAGCAAGGCCTCTGAAGCTCAACCCGGTCTGCACTGCCAGGGCTAACTTCATCCTCCACCACACTGCAGCTTTATTCTGTCTTCATCCATATTGATCTTCATCTGGTTGCTCCTCAACTTTCCCCATTAACAACCTCTCATGCAGCACAGTCTTCTCATTGCCAGAAACGCTTTTAAAGAAAAGCTAAGTGTAACAAAATGTCCTCTTGTAAACACAAAGGAAGTGAAGCAGAGTTAAGTATCATGCCCAGGGATAGTTACACAGCTAGTCAGTATTCCAAAGGGGCTCACCCCTGCTGTTAATCTCCTGCAGGGCACTGCCCTCCTTAAGTACATTTTTAAAGTAAAGGGGAGAGTCCACCAGATGCTCCACTGGAGAAGGAGGCCAATTTCCTCCTGTGCCTGTCGGATCCGATTTGATGGTACAAAACAAGGGGGGGGGGGGGGATAAAAAAGTAAAGGGGAAAACTGGAGGAAGAAAGGTGTCTGGCAGAAGAAACAGCGCCCTCCCTTCTCCAGCCACGGAAATGCATGGAAAGTTGGAGATTAGGCTTAAAGGACCACAGTTTAACAGCAACAAAAAAAGACAGATGAATGTCTAATAAGCACCTGAAAGGATGCTAAACACTATTAGTCATCAGGAAATGCAAATCCAAACTAGAATGACACCAGCAATGAATTAATTTCCTAAAGTAAATTAAGAAAACAATTCTGTTTACAATAGCATCCAAAAATACTCAGGGATAAGTTTAACCAAGGAGGTGAAAGGCTTGTACACTGAAAACTAAAAATACTGCTGACAGAAATGAAAAGAGGACCTAAATAAATGTAAAGACATCCTGTGTTCATGAACTGGAAGATTAACTTTGTTGAAATGCCAGTGTTTCCGAATGCAATCTACAGATTCTGCATAATCCCTATAAAAATCCAAATAACCTTTGCAAAAATGCAAAATCTAATCTTTTACTTCACATAGAATTGCAGGTTGTTGTAGGTGCCATCAAGTCTGCTGCTACCGCTAGCAACTCTATAAACAACCAATCTGCACCTCAAGCTGTCCTGTGCCGTCCTCAGGATCTCTGTCTTCCTCAAGCCCATTGTGGTAGACACTGCGTCCGTCCATCTTGTTGAGGGTCTTCCTCTTTTTTGCTGACCACTCTACCTTTTCCAGCATGATGTCTCTCTCTAAGGACTGAATATGTATCCAGAGTCATTGAGGCGAAGCTTCACTGTCCTTGCCTCTAAGGAGCACTGTGGTTACACCTCCTCCAAGGCAGATTTGTGTGTTTCTTATGGCAGGCCATGGGATGCTCAGTATTCTTTGCCAGCACCACAATTCAAAGGCATCACTTCTTAATCTCTTTCAAATAACCAAAACCATAGTGGAAAAACATCAATGTTAAAGGACTCACATGTCCTGAGTTCAAAACTTACTATAAAGGTATGGTAATTAAAACAACCTGATGCTCAAAGATAGATTCTGAAGGAAGAATGTCGCAGTTGCCCCCAGGCCTGATCACTCCTTAGGAGGCCTGATGCTGTTTAAGGCAGCTCTGGGCCTGGTCACAAAAGCCAACACCCAAGTTAATTAAAGAGGACCCCCACCCCCAATTCCAAGCAAAATACCATCTTTCCTGGTCCTCCCTAACACCCCTGTAAAGATAAACAGCCTTTGACTGCCCTTTGCCATTTTGACCTTCTCAAGCAGTTGGTCACTTGGCTTCCCTCAGAGTAGTCTTGAGACCATCTGCTTTCTCTCTCTCTCTCTTGCCTTTAACTCTTTTTTCAATCTAACAGTCTATATCCTTTTATAGTGAGCCATGACTAAGGTCTTTAAGAACTTGCAAGCAGCCATGGGTAGATAGGGAGGCTGTGCTTCCAACCCAGAGGTGGATAGTTTGAATCCACCAGCTTATCTGTGAGGGAAAGATGCGCAGTCTCCTCCTGTGTGATTGACAGCTTCTAAGCCCATTGGAGGGTCAGCTATGAGTCAGTTCTGACTTGACTCAAATGAGAGAGTTGGGTCTCTTCCTATCTTGAACAATCAAGAGTGAAGAACATAAAAGACTATTAATCCAAAGGACTAATAGACTATGTGAACTTCAGTCTCCATGACCCTGAGGCCAGACTTAGATGGCACCTTGTTATCTGTGCTCAATTCTCTGGATGGGATCACACAGAAGGTTCCTGACAGGAGAAGTAAAAATCATAAAGACCTGGTTTACTGACCTGATAGAGATTGTGGGGATTCCACAAAACTATGAGCCTTAGTCACCTTCCAGCCTGGCACCAAAATCGCTGAAATCAACCCCGTGAGTCCATGATGTGTCTATAAGGTGATCACAACTACCAGGGAGGATAGGAAAGGCTGAATGGAAAAGGGAAACTCTGAGGAAGTGAGAAGAATGCTGTCTCAGAGTGAGAGAACTGTAGTCCGTGCATCCACACGTGTACAAGCTGTGGAATAGAAAACCTTACTCTGTAAATTTTCACTCATATAAAAAAGTTAAAACATACATGTACAACCATTGTTATATTGGCTTAGGTATAGACTATAGACCAATGAAATAGAGGTGGGTCCTTATATAACCCATACATTGATAATTGATTTTTTCACAAAAGTACAAAGATCCGTCAATGGGGATACAAGAGTCTCTTTAACAAATGGTTCTGGGACAACTGAGTGTCCACGTGTCTAAGAATGTTAGACCAATATCTCACAACATATTACAAAATTAAAAGAATCAGCAACTTACTTGAACAACCAAAGCCACAAAAATCTTAGAAGAAAACGTAAGGGTTCATAACTTTGGATTTGGTAATGGATTTTACTATATGACCTGAAAACCAAGAGCAACAAAAGAAAAAAAGTGGATAAAATAGACTTAAAATTTGAAACTGCATCAAAGGACATTATCAAGACAGTGAAAACCCAACTCACAGAATGTGAGGAAAAATTTTCCAATCATGTATCTAATAAAGGTCTAGTGGCTTCGAAGGGGAAACTGACAGCAGAGAGGCACTTACCCCTAGAACAAGAAACCACACAAGGACAAAATAGCAGTATTTAGCCCAAAGATAAAGGCCAGAAGGCAGGAAGGGGCTGTTGTTGTGAGGTGTCATGGAGTCCAGTACAACTCAGTGACCCCGTGAACAACAGACCTGAACCCTGTCCTGTCCTGTGCCATCCTCATCATCTCTGACACACATGAGCCCACTGCTGCAGTCAGTGTGTCAGTCCATCTCTCCAGGGTCTTCCTCTCATTGACCCACCACCTTTCCAAGCATGATGTCCTGTTTCAAGGACTAGCCTCCTCTAGCAACATGCCCAAAGTATGTGAGACAAAGCTTTGCCATCCTTGGCACCCAACAAGCAATTTGGCTACACTTTTTCTAAGACATATTTGTTTATTTTGGCAGGCTATTGGCTATTCAGTGCTCTTCTTCAACACCAC